GGGACGGGGGCGGGGGCGGGGGGCGGGGGAGGGAAAGAGCCCAAAGAAAACAGCCAAGAGGCTAGAGCACCCTGGAGGGTAAACTGAGGCGCGGGAAGGGTGACGGCGTGCGTGGGGGTCAAGGGGAGGCCCTTGGGGCATGGGGCAAGGAGTCCCAGACCCCCTCTGACCCCTAGATGCTGAAGCACTGTGCCAACTGCCCCCGGGCCCTGGAAGTCCTGCTGAACGCCTACCCCTGCGTGCCAAGCTGCGACGCCTGGCTGCGGGCCGTGCTCCCGGAGGTGTGGCAGGTGCGGTAGCCCGGGCAGGGAGGGTGGGCTCCGGGCCCTGCAGGAGGAGCTGCCTGGGTGGCGGGTGACCGCTGTCCAGCAGCCCAGGTGACTCCTGAGCCGGGTATGGCACCAGCGCCTCTGGGCAGCACCAGTGCCAGTGTGGCTGCGACCCTGCTCTGCGGTGCACACCCCGGACTGGCCAGCAGGGCCTCGCCTCTGGCTTTGCATCCTCACAGCTGCGGCCACCTTGGGCTGGGCAGGAGGAGGGACAGAAGGGCCCAGCGGCCTGACCCCGCCCCCTCCCTCCCGCCCAGGCGCACGAAGCCTTCTACAGCTCGGCTGGACGCATGGTGAACCAGCCGCGCCGGCTGCAGCACCTGGCCCGCCTTGCTGTGCGTGCTCAGCTTGGAGACCGGTGCCGTGAGGCTGCCGCCCGGCTGCCGCTGCCCCCACTGCTCCGGGACTACCTGCTGCTGCGCGTGGAAGGCCGCATTGAGTGACCGGGCAGCCGGCCCGGAGACCCTCACTGGCCCTGACCTCTACCCACCTCTGCCCTGGCCACCTGAGATGGCACCCCATGTTGCCGACCTCCCCTGCCACCCTCGTAGCTGTCCCACCTCTGAAAACCCTTTTCCGTGTGGGTGCTGGGTGACCTGGGGTGTCACAGCTGGAATCGCCCCTCCAGCCGCCTCCCTCCACTGTCAGGCCCAAACCCAAGCTGACCCAAGGCTTCGGGGGGCAGCTTGGAGCCAAAGCCCTCGCCCGGCTGCATGCAGCCTCGGGTTCCATCCCCAGTGCCACAGAAACAGCAAACGGAAACCTCGAGAACCCAGGGCCGGGGGGTGCAGCTGGGCCCTGGTCTGCCTGCTTCCCCCTCTGCTCCCTTGCCTGGTGCTGACCCGAGCTCTCTGCTGCAGGTGTGTGCACGGCACTCCGGCTGCTGGGTTCCAGGTGCTTCTGTGTCCGCACAGCGCCTCCTCTGGGCCTGAGGTTACCTCACAACCACCTTCGCCTCCACCCAGCACTGATCCCCACAGCCGGCCCCGCAGCCACCACACCAGGTCCAGGACACTGGAATAAGTGACGTGTGGCGTCCTCGAGGGGCCTGCGAGGCCACTCATGGGAACCGGCCACCCCCTGGCTCTCTTGTCACTTCTTCTGGTCCCAGAGCCAAAAGCACCTTGACTGCTGGCGTGGAGGTGCACACCTGTAATTTTGGCACTTGGGAGGCTGAGACAGGAGGATCACCGCAAGTTCAAGGCCAGCATGGGCTACGTATAGCAAGACTCTGGCTTAAAAAATAAAAATGCAAAAGAGAGCACCTCGATTTACCCTTAGGCGGAGTCTTTGCAGGCGAGGTAGTGTTTCATCAGCCGTGAGGCCTGTGTCTATGGATCCCCCACAGCCTCAAGTGGGCACAGATGGGGCTTTTCAGAGGTGGCTGGATCTGGGTGTGCGACGCTGGGGTTGATTGACGGTGCCAGGCTAGGATTAAGAGTGCCCTGCCCTGGGTGTGAGTGCTGCCCCCGGGGCGGGCAGGCTGGACAGTGCAGAGGGACAGAAGGAAGCTGCTGCTGCTGCCTGCTGCCTGGCTCTTTGGTCCTCCACTGCTCGCTGCCTTCTGTGTGCCATGAGCTGTTTCTCCTCTGTGAGGCCCCTCGGGCACGCCGCCCTGCCGGGGGGCCAGCCAACTACGGGCCAAAACCTCCACGCTCCGTGAGCTACACAGACCTCTGTCCCTCTGCCTTCGGGTGTTGGGTACTTTGTCTCAGCAACAGGAGAAGGTAACTAAGACAGGAACGCTAGGAATTGGTGTTTCCCCGGCGTGCGAGGGGCTGTTGTGAGGTGACCTCCTCCGTGTGCCCTCTGTGGCTTCCACAGTTTCGGCCTGAGCCACCATTCCTGGTGGCCGGGAGAGGCTACAGCCTGCAGGGCCGTGGCGGCACAGGGGCTCAGCGCCCTCTCTCCTGTCATTTTGCGAGGCCCCGGGCTCCGTCACCAGCGGGAGCTGCACAGACGGGGTGGCAGCCCTGGGGCCTCTGGTGCCTCCACCTCCCCGGAGACCCTCTTCCACGGCCTTGGCCCTGGGTGAGCACAGCCACGGCCCCTCCTTTCCAGGTGAAAGATTTGTTTTAGTTTCTTTTTATTTTATTTATTTATTTATTTCCCCCGTACCAGGAATCGAACCCTGGACCTTGCGCTTGCCAGGCAGGCGCTGTACCACTGAACTAAACCCCCAGCTCCTCTTTGTATTTTAATTTAGGGTTTACTTGTTTTGTTTTGTTTTTTGAGACTGTCTCACTATACAGTTCAGACTGGCCTTGAACTCACTATGTGGCTCAGGGTGGCCTCAAGCTCCCAGCAATCCTCCCGCCTCAGCCTCACGAGTGCTGGGTATGCGCCCCCACACCTGGCTCTTGTTTTCATTCGGCAGAGAAGAAAGGCCTTTGAGAAGAGAACTCACCCTTAGCAGGGGAAGAGGCTGAGCCCCCTTAACCATGCAGGCCTGCCCCCAACCACCCAGCACTCCGTGTTCTGTTTCCAGACACAAGATACCTATTTAAAGTAAAAATAA